TAAAGATCAAAATTAAAATATTTATATTGAAAATCTAAATATGAGTAAAAGATGAACTATAGATTTTAAAAACTAGAGATTGTTATTTTTAAATTAAAAGTTTTTAGATTTAGTTGATCTTATTTTTGAAAATACTTACTTTAATATCATTAATGAAACTACAAGAAAAGAATATGATTTATTAAAACTTTCAAAAAATTTTATATTACCAAAATAATGATTATAATTTATATATATACATAAGTAGTAAAGATTATATTTATTTTTAATTGTATTTTTTAAATTTTTTTAAAAATACTCATAATATCATAATATAATATTTAAGTAGTATTTATTTAATAAAATAAATAATATAAATAAAGAATAAAATTAAATAATTTATATAATTATTATAAAATAATATATAAATTATTAAAAATATATATTAAATTTTTATATCATAAAAAAATATATAATTATTATAAAAAAATTAGATTATTTTTTAAAAATAATAATATTTGAATATATATATTTTATATAAAATAAATTAAAATATTATTTTCAATATTAAAATATAATAAATAATTCATATATAATAATTAAAAAATAAATATATAATAAAAAAAAATTAATATTATATATATATTTATTAAAATATACATTATATTATAATATAATTTTATTATTTAACATTTTATATTAAACATAATTATTTTTTATTTAATTTAAAAAATTAAAAAAATCATCTAAATATTAACTTTGAATTTCATAAAAAAATCTATTTATTATGAAGAATAATTGACAAATATCATTTAATAATCTTTTTTAAATATCTTAAAAAAAAAATATATACATTTTTTTCTTTTATAAAAATTAAAAATATATAATAAATAATTTTTAATAAATATAATAAGATATTTATATTTTTCTTATAAAATTTATAATTTATATCTTTTTATTTATTAATAAATGTTTTAATAATTATTAAATTTATAATTTATATCCAATAGCTTTTAAGAATCAAAATGCATCTTTACACTATTTAGCCCTTTAATAAAATATATATAAGAAACAATATGTTCTTATAATAAGTATTAGATAATAATATAAAAATTGAAATATAAAAAAAATATATATATATATATATATATATATATATATATATATATAAAAAAAAAAAAAAAAATATTAATTACATTTATATAATTATAATTTAAATATTTATATATCTAAAATTATTTGATTTTATAATTACTTATATATATTATTTTTATTTTGTATTTTTTATAAAAATAAAAAATTTTATCACATTTTATATATTTACAAATTATATTTATAATAATAATTTATAAATATTTTTACTTATATATTAAGATATTTTAAAAAAATATAAATAAATATTATTTTGATATGATATTATTTTTATTTAAAATTTTTTAATTTTATATATAATTAATGACTAGAAAAAAAATATTTATTTTTAATATAAGAAATAATAATAAATTATTTTTTTACTTTTTATATTTATTTTGCTAAAGCTAACAAATATTTAATAATTTGACGATGAATTAATAACAATTTTATATATTTAAAATTGTCGTAATTATTTTTATTTTTAATATGTGTATGTATATAATGAATTATTATAAGAAAAAATATAAAAATTCAGTATTAATGAATGTGAAATTAATGTTTTAAATTAAATTTAATATTATAAATATAAAATAAATATACATATTCATGTTTTAAATTTAAATACTAAAATATCTTATATTCTGAATTCAATTACTGTTGATTTTCTTTTTTTATTTAAAATTAAATTTTTATTAATCTTAAACAAAATTGCAAATATTATAATAATTGTTGTTTATTTATATGTCATAATATTCAAGTAATAAAATAGAGTACATATTAAAACAATATAAAGTTTTTTATGAATAAAATGTATTGAAATTATCAAATTAATAGAATTTAAATTTATTTAACTTTTTTTAAAAAAAAGTATCTTATTGATAAAGCAAGCTTTTATTTAAATTTTAAGCATGGAAGAATATTAAACGTATATAATGGATATTATAAAATAATAAAAGGAACGACGGCTATTAAAATAATCACTATTTAATAAAAGGAATTAATTTAATTATTTTTAAATTGATATTAGTTATTTATATTTCATCAGAAACAATAATTAATTTTTCGTTAGATATAAGGATATTTGCAAAATATTTTAATAACTGTAAGTATTCTTATTAAAGCAAACAGGTAAATTATAATTAATACAATTTTTTTAAAAGCTTATCCCAAAATAGAATAATTCTTAATATTCTTAACAACTGATAAAAGAAGGGTCAATAAATAAAAATATTATGTTTTAACATAAGCATCAAAAGATAAATTAATTAAATATGTTAAAACTTGGATATAGTTTATTTCTATTGTGATGACATGCTGAAAAAAAGAAGAAAATATATCAAAACAACTTTATATAATTAAATTATTCATTTAAGAAATCTTTTAAATTTTATTAATATTATTTCTATTAAAATAATAAAACAAAATTTATTTGATAATTAAAATAATTTATACACAAAAATGTTATTAATATTTAATTATTTTTATAATAAAAATGAATGTATATCATAAATTTATATTGAAACTAAGACTAGAAACAATATAAACGCAAAAACCATATACTAAAAAATAGGGATCTATTGTTTAAACAATATGTGATTTCTATAAATATTTATACACACTCATTTCTTTCCTAATATAATAAAAAAAAATGAAATAGGCTTATAAATTATTTAATTTATATTTTAACATATAAAACATATAAGCATATTATATTTTTCTTCTATTATATATCTATTTTTATTTTAAAATTTTATTTTTGTAAAAATTAATTTTAAAATATATATTTATTTATATAATTAATAATAATAATTTAAATTTTTTATACTTTTATATTTCATTCAAAATTTTAACAATTAATATTTTTATAAAATATCCTGTTCGATATTTTTCACTAATTTATTTTAATATTTCTCAAATAAACTCCATAAAAATAAATTTAAAAACTCATAATTTAATAGTATGTATCCTGTTTAACTTTAATTTTTCATAAATCCAATAAAAGTAAATTTTTTAGAAGTGTCGTTTTATCATTATAAGTTGTTATAAACCTTTTAGAAATACAAAAATAATAATTGTTTTAATTAATTATACGAATTCCACATTTATCAATATAAATTATTTTATAATAATTAATTAATTCCTTAATAAAGAATATGTTCTTTATTTTTGGCCTAAAATATACAAATACTTTTAAAGCTTAAATAATTTTTAATTTAAATTAAAATATTTTAATTTTTTTAAATTTAAAATTTTAAGAAGCTTAATATAAATAAGTTCAATTCATTATAATATTATGTTTATTTATTATTTTCAATTATTTTATATCTGCCGAAAATTATTAATTTCGTACCTTATAATATAATTATCAGTAATATAATAAAATTAATTAATTATTCTTAAATAATTTTTAATAAGGAATATTTATTTATTTCTTTAAATGTAGATAGGAAACATTATAAATATATTTTTAATCATATTAATAATAATATTATATAAATTAAAATGGATTTTAATAAATATAAATATACGAAATTAAATTAATCTTAAAATTATTTTGAATAAACTAAATTTTTATATATATATATATATATATATATATATATATATATATATATATTTATATATAATTTTTTTTTTTTGTTATTTGAATTTTTTTTTTATTTGAATTTTTTTATTTTTCGTGATTTTAATTTTATTTTATTTTTGTGATTTTAATTTTTGTTTTTAAAATTATTAATTATTATATTATAAATATTTAAAATAATTTTATATCATTATTAAAATAGAAAATAAAAAATTAATAATATTAACTAACTATCAATTTTGAACTTAATTATTTATTTGAAAATTAATTTTTTTATATAATATATCAAATTATAAAAATCATTATATATTTACTTAATTTTTAAATACAATTATTAATAATCATTTTTAGCAAATATAATTAAATTAGTTAATAAAAAAAATTAATAAATATTATATTATATATTATTTATTTTATTCATTAATTAAATTCTTGCCATCTATTTTTTTAAATTAAAATATGGTAAATTTTTTATTTATTATAAAATTAGTACTCAATTATATAGTTATTTTTAAAAAGATGATAAAGTAAGAAATAACAAAGAAAAAAATTATAATTAGTATTACTAAATAAAGCATTAAGAAGAATTATGCATAAAGAAAGATAAAGATAATAAGAATATGCCAAAAATTATGTATGTAGCGAACTAAACTAGTGAATTAAATAAAAAAATATTTATTAAATAACATACATTTAATATATTATAGAAAATTTATAGTTAAAATATATTATAATAAAAAATTTGAAATTTTATAAATATAATTTTAGAAAAATTAAAATAAATCTAATAAAAATTTATGAAATTAATTGCCATTCTTAATTTATTGATTTTTTTCTAATTTATAAGAGCATTTAATATTTAAAATTTTATATAACTTGTATAAAATAAGAATACTTAATGGAGTACAATTTCAAACATGTTTTCTACTGGTCCTTTCGTTATCAAAAAAAAAAAAAAAATTTAGCTTATTTTAAATATAAAAAGGATGGATTTTTTGATTAAACTACGACACTTGATTTATATAGAAGTGTCTAAAGATAATTTCAATAGTTAGCATGTCCTTTAGAAAGTATTGGAAATACAGAGGAAAATCGTGATATTTATTTAACATGTTTAACTTGTAAAAAATAAAAATAATAAAAATGTTTAAATAAAATTATATAATATAAGTATTAGATAAAAATAACGACTTAAATAACTAATAAGGAGTTTTTATAAATAGTTTACATCACGCTAGAGAAGTTATGTCACTTTCAATGCAACTCTATACATATGCATATATACTTTATTAATATTTTTAAGGGGATTAAAAAACAATTGATTTTTTAAAAAATAATGTTATTTGGTTTATTCCAGTTGTTAATGTTGACGGATATGAAATATTAATGTAGAATTTTGATGATGGATATATAAAAAAGTATATCAGAAAAAATAGAAAAATCGAAAAATAGTGTGAACATAATGTATTGTAAGGAGTAGATCTAAATAGAAACTACCCAACAGCATTTGGAATTGATGATATAGGAAGCTCTCCAGATCCTTGTAGTATAACTTATAGAGGGTAATAAGCTTTTTCAGCTAAAGAAACACAAAATATATAAAAATTTCTTGATTAAAGAAAAAATATTAAAGTTACATTTAATATGCATTCATATGGAAATTTTTGGATAGCTCCCTTTAATTATCTAAATGATATTGATAATAATTAATTGAAATAAATACAAAAATATTACATAATTTATTAAGAATTTTTTGCTTAAGCTAATTTTTCATAAGATGCATTAAAAGGAAATGCTATATAAATGAATTTATACCTTACTAATGGTGAAATTAATGATTGGTTGCTAAAAGAAAAAAGTTTTTTATTAAAAAAAAAAAATTAAATGTTTTAATAAAATATAAAGATATTATAGCTTTTACTCCTGAAATTGGATCTCTGTAAAATGGTTTTTATCCTCCTCAAAATAAAATTGTTAAAAGCCTAGAAATTAATTTACCTCCTATAATGTATATGATATATAAAATGAACCATGATCCAATGTTTTTATTAAAAATAAATAACAAACTATATTATTTATAAATAAAAGTATATAAAAATTAGAATTATTAGATAACTTATTAGCAAATAGAATTTTTTAAAGAAACGATTTCTAAATAAAGAATTAAGAAGATATACCATATAATTAAGTATTGAATATTTTATATATTGAAATATATAATTAAGGAATTGCAGATATCATAAAAAATGATATCCATTTAAATTTAAAATTACAATCTTAAAATTAAAATTAAAGTTCAGACTAATATTATTTAGATATATGTTAAGTTTACAGTATTACATCTGAAGATATTTATAAGATATAAAAATTAAGTAATATGGAATATTTATAATTTTAATCTTAATTAATTGAAGAAAATAAAATGATTTCTAATAGTCTAACAAAAAAAGAATCAAATAATTATCAAATTTAAATTAAATAAATAAATGGAAGATCAGTCTTTTATTTTTTTATATTAATTAAGCATAATTATCCTCTTAATACGTAATTAAAGGCTTAATTAATTATAAATAATAAATAATTGGATGATTAACAGTTAACATTAGATTAAGATACTATTGAGATTTATTATGCCGATAATGGATAACTCTTAAGTATGAAACTAATGGTCTTAACAGCAATTTTAATATTCTTAGATAAATATATATATTTAATTATTTGATAACTTAATTAAACTTTAAATAATTAATTATAATAGTTATTTTATATGTTTAATTTATATTTTATTTAAAAAAATTAATTTTTATTTATTAATTTATTTTAATCTTTAATTAAATTTTCAATTATTTAATATTTAATTAAACTATTTTAATTTCCTAAAAATTTATAAATACTAAATTTATATTTAAATTCTAAAAAATTTATTATTTTTAAATTCAATATATCAAATACATAATTTGTAATAATAGAATTTCTAAAATGTGATATGTTTATAAAATTTTATAAAAAAATATGTTCTTTATATTTATTCACAATTAGAATTAGAATTTTACATAAAGTTTAATATAATTTATAAATCTATTAGTCAAATATCTATTATAATTTTTAAGGACTATTTAGCCGAAAAAAAAAAGATATAGGTTTACTTTTTCTCTTTTTTATAAAATTAAACATTCAAAATAATTATAATTATAATATTTATAAAAACTTAAATAGTAATTTATTTTTAATAAGGATTATAATATTTTATTATATAATTAGAACATTTATTTTACTTTATTTTATTTTTAGAATAATTTTTAAAAAAGTATTTTTTTAATATTATTTTAACATATTTTTATAAATGGATTTCTAATTTAAAAAAAATGTTGTTTTCATTAAAATTCCTAAATCTATTGTGAAATAATAAAATTAATCATAATATCATAAATATAAGCAATTTTATAATTATAAAATATAATTTAGTGAAAAAAATTATTTAAATTAAATAAAAATGAAATATACAATTATTAAAATAATTATAAAAAGAAAAAATTAGATATTAACTTTAATATATAAGGCAAAAAAAACTAATAAATTAATATGAGAAAGAAAAAAAATATATATATTAATATTAAATAAAAAAATTAATAATAATAAAAAAATAATTGCGTAATTATTAAATGAAAATTAATAAATTTTAAAATTTATAATAATATATAGTTAAAATCTATATTTATTTTTTTATATTATAAAAAAAAAATATTTAATATAATATGAAGAAAAATATTTAAAATTTTTTTAATTTTTATTTAATTAATTAAAATATAAAATACATATGTATAAAATTTTTGACAAGAAAAAAAATTTTAAAAATAAATTATAATAAATAAAAAATATTAAAAGTTTTTATATTTATAAATTATATAAAAATATATATATATATATAAAAATTTATATATATTTATTTAAAATTATGTATAATTAAATAAAAAATCATATTTATATTTTTAAAATTTTTAAAATTAATAATAATCATAAATATAAATTTTTAAATATATTTATTTATTTCATTTAATATTTTATATATAAATTTTAAAAAATATATTTATATAAATTTATATTTATAAATGTATTTTATAATGTTATTTTATATTTAAAATATAATTTATATTTATGTAAAATTTTTTTAAATAAAATATTTTAAAATTTTATATATATTTATTTATTT